GCCGGCGCCGCCTCCTCACAGAAAACAGCGAGCGCCGGAAAGCCCTTTTCTCCCCGTTTTCATTTCTGGCGGATCAAAGGGGCAGGGAGGCCCCTGTCCTTCCCCTTCGCGGCGGGGCCCTGCCGGCAGCACCGCCTCGGGGTGTCCCTGGGCCTGGGGTCTTCCTTTAGGAGCAAAAAAACCCCCTTTCTTTCTTTCTTTCTTTTTAATGTCTTCTTTTTTTTTCCCCCCTCTTCGTTTTTTGAGTATCAAAAGGGCAGGGAGGCCCCTGTCCTTCCCCCTCACCCTCCGTCCAGACACAGCCCTGTCGGCAGCACCGCTTCGGAGGTGGTCACCGAGCCTGCGGCCTTCATCCAGAGGCCAAAAAGATCCCTTTTTCTCTCATTTTTCTGTGACAAGATCTAAACTTGTTTGAGGTGTTGGGTTTTTTATTTTTCTGAGCCGTTCAGGCGCCGTACTTCAGCATGGGGAGCATTAACTCAGCCCCTGGACGTGCGGGAAGACCCTCAGGGCTCCTCTCCCTGTCACATTTCTGGGGGTAAAACAAACCCTCGGCGAGAGGGACTCGTCCCGGGGCAGCTTGTGTCAGCCAGGACTGCGCTTGGCTCGAGTTTGCGCCCTGCAATGTAGAATTTTCTCCCGTTTGCCATCAGCAGAGCGATGTGAGAGAGTGGAGACGCTGGGACAGAAAACAAACCCCTTCTCCGTGTCGCCGTTACAGCTTAGAAAAAGTTGTATTTGTCTTAAAACTCTTGAAATCAAGTTCATCTCGCTAACTTCATCTCGTCTGCCTTCGAGCACGGGTTTTTGCTGGGGCCTGTGCAGTAGTTTTAGCCGGCGGCCAATCTGGAAGCCTTGATGAAAGCTCAGGTTTTCCTGGCTGGTAGTAAAACGTAGGTACAGTAGCCTTTGAATGACCTCTGATTTTGTGTTTTTCCTCACTTGTAGTTGAGCAGTTTACACCTGAAGGAGGAAAAAACCAAACCAGATGCCAATGGTGAGTTACAGCCGCTCAAATGGTCTTAGAAAGGGCGTAATGTTTTTCCGTTGGGTTTGGAGCGCTGCTGCCAAAGTAAATTCCCGATTAGTCAAGAAATTCCAGAAAAGGGAAACATAAAGCTAAGATTAAACAGCAGCGTAGACTAAATATCTGGCTCGCGTGCTTGTTCTGCTGGGCTAACTTTTTTAAACCATGTTTTGCTGTATTCAAGGAGCTGTGCGGGCAAAATCTGTTGGTATGGTTGATAAAGTTCAATTTGGCCGTACAGAGCAAGCCATAACCTGGGTTTCTTCTGCGCACTGAGAGCGCAGGGCTGTTCTCGTCAGGAAAACGGGCTGTTTTGTAGCTTTTCCCACAATATTCGAAACCTAAAACTCTGCGGGTGTGGGCTGCCTGACCTCACAACTGCCCCAAAACCGTCTGTTTTAATTTAGGTGCTGTTGTCAAGGCAGATGACAACGTAGAGAAGACGGAGGATGAGGAGAAGGGTGAGTGCCTTCTTGAAAAATGCTTTGGCGAGGAATGTTGAAAAGAAATTAATTTTGTATATACTTAAAGTAAGTCTGCCTTATGTCTCAGGATGGATGATCTTGTATCCTGCCCCAAGGACTTAATTGTAAGACATGTCCTTCCTCCATAATACTTTTAAAGCCATTGGGTCCTGTAATAACTTGGGAGACTCCTGGATTAGAGTGGAGAGAAATAAGGGGATAGCAGTATCCTCAGAGGCAGGACTGGATACAGGAGCAGTTGGATAACCTGGAGCTGGAGTTGCTGTAGCAACCAACATGTTGCCTTTATGAAATGGCTGTTAAGAGGTGGGTAACGGCTCTAAATCCTTCAGAAGGTGGCTTAAGAGAAACGTGCTTTAGAAGACAGATTTATTAGCAAAAGCCCAAAGTGCAGCAGTTTAGCCTTCTGTTTTGATCTCGCTTATCGTCAGCCCTTGCTGCATTTCAGCCCTGGAATCTTTCAAAGTACCGTTTGTCCTCAAACTTCCCTTAAAAAGAAAAAAAAAAACCCACCTAAAAGGTGTCTGCCCCCATGTCAGGTAATGGTAAGGCTTTAAGAGGCTTTTAACCCTGTCCTGCCTTCCAGTTAGATGCTAAGCTATAATATCTTAAATTAGCAGAGTTCTAAAAAAGCTTCTAAAAACTCTAAAAAGGCAGGGTTCTGCATCTGTTAAGGTCCCCCTTAAAACAGCGCTCGCTTTGGTTTGCCTTCCTAAATACTAAATGTGGATCTCTGGGATATCCTGATGGATGTCTCACTCAGGAAGTTTGGGCTCTTTTATGACACTGCTCTGTAACAGAAGAATTTCAGTATTTGGATGCATCCTGTCCTTTTCAAGTGGCTCAGTAGTGCAGCGTTTCAGCGGGAGCGACACCTGAAACAGGCTATGATTTATTTTTACTTTTTTTTTTTCCCTACCCCCTTTTTCAACAGAGGACAGAGCTGCCCAGTCCTTGTTGAACAAGCTAATCCGCAGTAACTTGGTTGACACAACAAATCAAGTGGAGGTGCTGCAGAGGGATCCCACATCGCCTCTCTACTCCGTGAAGTCTTTTGAGGAACTGCGACTGTGAGTCCTGTTAGATTTCCTGTCCGTGTAGGAGATATCACTTAAAAGTGCATGGGTTTCTGTTTCAAGTTACTGCAAATTTGTCATTAATAAATTAGCGTATCTGTATTATTTAAATGCAAGGAGAATTATTTTATCTTGGTGCCTTGTGAAGGCTTCCATCTGAAACGAGCTCATTTTAAGTCCCGGTCGGTGTGGAGCTAGCATTGCTTTCTATAATCAGCTCTAGCAACACTGTTCCGATTTTTAATGTATGGGTTTCGGTCTTCAAACGCACAGTGGAGCTCACATGTGATAAGCTGGATGAGGCGAAGAGAGGAGGGAGGGCCGTCCTTCCACGGCCACTGTCACCAGGGTTATGTGAATTGCAGAGTGAGACCTTCTCTGTGTCGGAGGCATCGTTATTTCGCCACCAGTTCTCCAGCAAGTGCAGGGAGGCTCGGAGCAGGTGTTCCAGCAGCACGGCAGTGTTTTGGAAAACACGAGATTTGTTTTACTGGCAGAAGTAACGCACACAACCATCTTCTGTTCCTGCTCTCTGGCGGTTATTTGTGAAGGTCCAGCAGCAGCAGTGAACAATACAAAGGGAAAAGCTTATCTTTTCTCTGCCAGCGATATTGGATTTATGTACTGGAGAGACTACTAGCATTAGTATTTTCTGACCCTTCCTATTGAATACCTTTACCAGTGGAGCTTTCAAGTGACGATAGCTGTATTTAAGGCATGATAGATTTCTATCTTTTTTTAATGTGCTAAAGAGGCTGTCCTGTTGGGATTGTTGTTGGTTATATTGATGATCTCAGTTTTGTTGCTCTTTTGCAAGCTCCATGGGGAAATCGGAGCCGATGAGACCTCACCGTGAAATGTCAGGATGTCGTTTCACTTTGTTAATGTTAGTGGTTGAATGTCTACAAAAAAAGCTGAGGTCCTGTAGTGCCTGTTAGACTAATTCACATCTTTCAATAGCCAAACAATCCAAGTGAGTTAATGATGGGGGCAGCCAGACTAATTGAGTCTTCATTTTGTTATGGCTTGGTGTATCCTTGGCAACTGTTGCAGCGTTGGGCTTTGTACGTCCTTGCTTCTGAGCAGCACAAGGTTACGTTTTCAAAGAGCTTTTGTTCCAGCCGTCGTCTGAAAGTAATACACGATTTTTAAAAAGCGTGTTGTGCTGAATAGGAAGCTCTTAACAGCGGGAAATGGTGGGCGGGAAACCTGTAACCTGCTTCGAAGGGAAAGCCCTTACTTCTGAGCACCACTAACAGCACTCCAGTAAGCACTTGGAGGTCATCGGCTGAGAGTTCGCTAGCACCATAACCTGAATCTTAGGTTGTTCTTGGATCTCCTTGTCTACACAAGTGTCTGCCGAGACTAGAAAGCTCCCTTGAGAGAAAGCAATTGATGAGCATTTGACGACTAGCAGTGTCACCACACTGAGTGGTGACACTGAGTTGTGAAGGTCAGTGTCCTGACCTTCACCACACTGAGTGGTGACACTGAGTGGTTTGAGTGCTGGGTTATAACCACGGATCGCTCGGTGTAGTCACGGTGAACTACGTTTATCAGTCATTTACCAGTTTTGTGCACTAAGCCAGTATCGCTCTGGTGTTAAGGTGTCAGTTTATATTACAGAATCCATCGCGACTTACTGAATTCCTTGCAATGATTTCATGACATTACACTTCATTCTGTTCCTCATGTGCTGAGGTCGCTTTGTCCTGTCTTTGAGGCTTCAAGGGGTGATAATTTTGGCGCCGCGATTAGGCATCGCTGAGGAAAAGGGATTGGCCTAAAGGACAGGATTAGTGCTCTCTGCTCTGGGATTCCCGGGATTGTCTGAAAAGCTGCTTTAGAACAAGAAGCCCAGCGCTAGCCTTAGAGCTGTGACACAAGGTTTTCCATGTAGCTGTGAAAGGCAGGCGTGCAGGCTGACTTACTAAATGGAGGGGTTTTTGCAAAGCTTCCTTTCCAAACTCTCTGCTGTCACTTGTTGTAGCTTCCAAGCACTGATCATAGTCACTTCACCGGTGCGATTATAGCGGGTACACAGAAAGGGCAGCTCTAGGTCCGGTTGCAAGGTTTTTTCTCACCTTTTTGTACACAAATGAAAACGAAATGTACTTTAATAGATCACGGTATAAAAACTCCTCTGTTTTCAGGAAACCACAGCTCCTGCAAGGAGTCTATGCCATGGGCTTCAACAGACCATCTAAGATACAAGAGAATGCCCTGCCCATGATGCTTGCTGAACCGTATGTACACATACTTTCTACTCCCTTCCAGTATAGGAAGGATTTGAGAGGTTTAGTGTACTATTACTGAACTTTGGATGGGAGGGATGGTGATGGGGAAGCTGTCCGGGCTGTGGTGAAAGGCTTCCCATGCCACGGTGTTTCTGTGGGCACGAACTATGTGACAGCAGCCCTGGATTTGTCCTTTTCCTAGGGCTGGTACTGAACACGCAGTGCCGCGGTGTTCGGCCAAGGTCAATCCGATTTTCCTGGTCAGCGTAGGGGAGAAATAATAAGGCTGCTATGGAATGTAGCTCCAGAAATCCTGGGAGGGTGGGAGTAGTTGAGATGCTGTGTTGCCTGTGTGGCTGGTTTTCCTCTCCGCGCCCCTGAGCTGTAATGTGTGAAGTGTTAAGACACTAGGGGGAGATGTGCGAAATGGAAAAGTACCGACAGATAATCGCAGTTTTCCTTCCAAATCTCCATAATCAAGAGGTCACTTGTGCTGACAGCATTGGTAGAGGGCAGAAACTAACTTCTGCCCTGTGGAGCGTAGCTGGTCAAGCTGGGCATCAGTCCAGAGCAGTGGTGAATCTAAAAGGTATTAAAATGCCACTCGCTGCGTTTTCTTTATCATTCAACCCCATGAATACGTCATCCGGGTGGTTCGTCTGGTTGAGCTCACGTCTGCTGTATGTTCCGCAGCCCACAGAACTTGATCGCACAATCTCAGTCCGGTACTGGTAAGACGGCTGCCTTCGTCCTGGCCATGCTCAGTCGTGTTGAACCTGGGAACAAGTATCCACAGGTAAAGTTTCTGGGATGTGGCTGTTTCGGGGGGTTTCGTGGTGGTGCAGTGCCACCTAGTGAAGAGGTTGGGCTTCTATTGAGACTTTCGATAGGAAATCCGTATGAATCATCGTAGGAAATTCGATGAACCCATCTCTGTGATGCCGTTTATGTAAACTGCTTAGCAGGGGCTGGTGATTCGGGGATCTATCAAAATGCCTTTAATGCAAAAGACGTGGATTTTACTAACAACTTGTTCCTTTCAGTCCCTCCTTCGCATCGCTCGGCATGCCATTTCTCTGTGAGGAGTTAAATCAGGGGGATATCATTCTGCAAGAAATTAAATCGGAGAAATATTGCGGGCTGAAGGGGGTTAAGTAAGTGGAATTTGGGATGGAAGAGAAGATACCTGTGACAATAGAGCAGACAATGCCCAGAAAATGGCTTTTTAAACCAAATTTCCTTATGAGATAGTTGAGTGGTTTTACCAAGGCTAGAGTTCTTTCCTTAAAAAATGCTGTTCTTATCTCTTAGTCTAACTGTAGGTGTTAGGTTCCTCGTCACTACTGTCCATATGTGTCCCCCAGCAGAGTACCTGCACTCTCAGTTCTGAGGAGCAGAATTAAACCCAGAAAGCCAGTGGCTAGGTGACTGTATCATATCAGCTCATTCCCCCAGTTTCAGGATGTAGAACTGATGGCTTTCAGAAACTCTTCAGCTGCTCGCATGGCCGTCCTCGGGAAAACTTCAATAATAAGGATTTTAAAAAGCAGGTGTGATACTGTTGCCCAGGACGTTGGTCATCTCAAACGCGTTATCCTTCTGTCCCTCCAGTGTTTGTGCCTTTCCCCAACATACGAGCTGGCACTTCAAACAGGAAAAGTGATTGAACAGATGGGAAAGTTTTATCCGGAGCTGAAACTTGCATATGCTGTCCGAGGCAATAAATGTGAGTAAGGTGAAACGCTACCAACAGACTGTAAATTATGTTCCTCGGGTGCAGTACAGTAAACGAACAATAGAGCAGTCAGATGGTGAAATAGGCTAGTTCAGAGAGGGGCAGGGCATGTCACTGTCTGCGCAGCCATCTTACGAAGGCCTTCCTTTCTGTCTCGGCAGTGGAGAGAGGTCAGAAGATCTCTGAGCAGATTGTAATCGGCACACCCGGCACTGTGCTGGACTGGTGTTCCAAGCTGAAATTCATAGATCCCAAGAAAATCAAAGTGTTCGTCTTGGATGAGGCTGACGTGATGATAGCAACCCAGGGCCATCAGGACCAGAGCATCCGCATTCAGAGGTAAGGTACTCGGCGTACGTTGCCCGAGGTGATTTTTGTTTCTTTCGATTATAGCTATATTGTAACGTAGGGACAGCAGGGCTAGATTCTTGACCGGTGTCTTCACCGATAAAGCAACAAGATTAAAATGATATATTTAGCTCTAATCCAGATGGTTAATAGAGGCAGAATGTCAGGGGATGACAAGCAGTTTCATTTTCTTACAGAATAAAAAGCCTGTCCCTGGAGCAGGGTTTATTCATTTTTAAGAATGCAAGTCTGGATGCCACTGGTCCATGAGGGAACGATCAGGTGTTGGTAAGATTAGCATTAGTCTTTCCAGCCACTGAAATAACTGGTTCTGAGGTTATTGTTCTGCTTTGCCCGTAGCATTAATCCCATCAGGATATCAGGGGGGCGACAGCGTTGCGTGGGAACCCTGCCCATTTTGCTCTCTCTTGCAGAATGCTCCCCAGGGACTGCCAGATGCTTCTGTTTTCAGCCACTTTTGAGGATTCTGTGTGGAAGTTTGCTCAAAAAGTTGTTCCTGACCCAAACATTATCAAACTGAAGCGAGAGGAGGAGACGCTGGACACTATTAAGCAGTATTACGTTCTGTGCAATAACAGAGATGAGAAGTTCCAGGCTCTCTGTAATATCTACGGCGCTATCACCATTGCCCAGGCCATGATCTTCTGCCATGTGAGTCCTTTCGGGGAACGTTAGTCCCAACGACCCCGTTAGTGTCTGCTATTGCTACAAACCTGGCCAGGCATGCTTTTCAGAAAGAAACTGAGAACGTGAATTGCCCTTTTCTTTGGCTTTTCTGGCTCCCTCTTTGAGTGAAATCTTGAGAGCCACGATAGCACTAGCTGGTTTATTTCTCTGGGTTTGTCCATCCAGGTCATTTTTATTCTTGAAGTCCTCTGAAGCAAAGATCAGACTAATGCACAGTTCTCCAAAACAAAGTATTACTCAGAACCACTGAAAAAACCCAAACCCCTGAGGCTGGAAAATGGATAAAAATAGGGCAGAATGAGGGATGGGGAAGCCTTGTAGTTCTGCGGCCGATACATAGCTTTTCCTGGGACTCCATTTCCCTCAGGTAACTGGTGATACACCTCCGGGGTCTCTCTGTGAATCATACTGAGACTTCTTTTTTTCTGGAAGCCACCGTAACTCGTAGGAAAAAAACAGTGCTGACAGCACCAGAACAGCCACGTAAAGCTAGCTCAGACAAGATAAAACCCGTATTTGGAGTCTGCTGCAGCAGTCTGCTTTTATGCTGTTTCGAGCCGTAATAATATCAGACGTAATCAGAGCTTGAAAAATCAACGTAATTGGAAACCGTTTAATTCAAGACTGCGTAGAGCCTCTATTGGATTTCACAACTACATTCAGCTCAAACCCTGACATTTTCCAAGCTGAGTAGTTTTGTTTACTTGACACTGCTTGTGAGTTCTTAGCGTACATATGTAATCCCTCATAGAGTGAAAGCTGAGGAGCAGAGCACAAAGAGAACGCGTACTTTTCTTAAACAAGGGTTCCTGTGGTGGCAGATGCACATTTTCCTATTTCTGATACGAGAGCTGGGAGCACAGTTTGTCATGGGGAGGGGGGTGGGCACAGCACTTAGGAGCTGTTTCCTTTTGAGATACAAAAACTGAGCAGCCGCGGAGCTTCCAGTCGACCCCAGAGAGGTTTGTTCCTGCTTTACAGCATTAAAACTTCCTCCCCAAGACGGGCCTCGCTTTGTGTTTCAGACTCGGAAGACGGCCGGCTGGCTGGCGGCGGAGCTCTCGAAGGAGGGCCATCAGGTGGCATTGCTCAGTGGGGAAATGATGGTGGAACAGAGAGCCGCGGTGATAGAGCGTTTCCGCGAGGGCAAAGAAAAGGTGCTGGTGACCACAAACGTCTGTGCCAGAGGTAGGGCATGGCAGAGCTGGGCCAGGGAGGGGCAGAAGCAGCAGGTCCTAAGATAACGTGCTGCTGGCCAGCTTGCAGAAAGAATTCATATCCTCAGGTGTTCCAGTCTGGAGAGATTAGGGTCCTTAAAGTAATTCCTGGACTTTTTGGGCTGCTGACCGTGTCTGTGCATATAAAGATGCCTGTGGGCAAACACAGGATTCCTTGTAGGCTTCCTGCAGCTTGGGATGAAAAAGTCCACCCTGGGAGAATTTTCTGCTTCTGGCGCCAAGCCTGGCTTACCTCAGTGTTTAAAATAAACATGTTCCAAAATACGGATATCTGAAAAGTACTGAACTCCGGTAGGAATTTGTGTTGCAATTTGACATCTTAGAACAGTTAAGACAACATAGTACTTGGAAAAAACAAGAGGCCTTTACAGTTTCGGAGAGGAGGGAGGAGTTTCCAAAATATGTAAGTGCTGGATGAAGCTGAGCAGCTCCAACTGTTTTTCTGTTAGCCGTTCCAGTGGGATTCTCTGGTGCAACAGCTAGATGGTTTTTGTTTCAAAGTGCCCCGTAAGGATATTGTGGAAAAGATCCATTTCAGAGCTCGAGACTGTCTTTTAACTCCTCACTCCATGTGGAGGCAGCCTCTGAAAGCTGTTGGGTAACCCGGATATGGTGACCAAACGGCACGCAGAGGAGGCTGTTCCTGCTATAAAATGGTTTAAATGTAGTTGTGTAATCCGGTGCTTTCTTTTTATCAGGGATCGATGTAGAGCAGGTCTCTGTTGTTATCAATTTCGACCTTCCTGTGGATAAGGATGGCAATCCAGATAATGAGACTTATCTGCACCGGATTGGACGTACAGGTCGCTTTGGCAAGCGAGGACTGGCTATTAACATGGTGGACAGCAAGCACAGCATGAATATTCTCAACAGAATCCAGGAACATTTCAGTACGTACCCTCAGACTTTGTCTAAAATCAGATGTTATTTCTGCAGAGTTTTGACTAGCTGCGTACTGAGCAGATCTAATGGATATTTGTCGAGCCTTAGACTGACCGCAGAAGAGCTCATCAGCTGCCTTTTGTGTAATGTCACTTAGGATTGTGAACTGCTGCATATGATAGGAGCAGAAATACGTCGAGTTGTCTGTTTGCTGGCTACCCGGATAGTCCTTAAAATGGATGTTCCAGATGGTAACATTCGGGTACCCGGGTGGGCCTTTGATAAAACAAAAAAGTTTTATGTTGTAGTTTTAAAACCTGACTGAACATTTCATGGATAAGCCTGAATTCCTCAAGCCCAGCTAAAGAAAGCAGCTTTCCCTTCTCTGCTCTGTGTTACGAAATCTGACTTATTTCTCATCTTTCCCAGACAAAAAGATAAACAAGTTGGATACTGACGACTTGGACGAAATTGAGAAGATAACTAACTGAAGTACAGCTGCTGGAACTGGTGTGTACCCTGCTGTGGAAGTTCTCCCACTATAATTGGATCAGCGTTCAGATTGGCACGCCTCTCAGCTAGTCCCGAAAAGGACTCTTTAAGATATGAGTACACAAAAATTACCTCATTTTAAAAATTGCAGTTGGACTTCAAATTGTGCAACTATGGGGAGGAAGAGGAAATGTTTACAGAAGCTTTTAACATTTCTTAGTTTAGCCTTAAAACGGGAAGATCTTTCGAATTCTAAGAAATACACTTGCCAAAAAATGGGCAATATGTAATTATCTAAAACAAATTTAAAAAAAAAAAGCTTTATTGCCTTCAATTGGAATAAAGTTCAGCAGTAACCTGATCAGTTAAAATTCAACAGCCAAATATATAATGGAAAAAAGTAAAGAAAAAAAAGAAAAAAAAAAAACCACGATCCCCAAACAAGGCAGCTGGTTTTTGGCTAAAAACTCAACTTGTACAAAATAGGATGTCATTCTCTCTGGCGCTCCCCTGAGCTCTTTAAAACTCATTTCTGGCTTCCTGATGGATTTGCCCTGCTTTTCCTTACGTAAATTGTCCGAAGGATGTCTCCAGTAGCTCATACTCGCAAACACAGGTGCCGTGTTGCTTTTGCTGGGCGGTATTTTCATTTGTCCTCGACTTGTTAGAATGGCCACTGCCCGTAAAGCGGCGCGTTTGCTTTTACCCTCGCCGAGGTGGGGGTGGGTGGGAGGGGGTGGGAGGGGCAGTATGAAGGGAACTGTACTAATTAATTTTCTGAATAAATTCGCCTCCCTAAAATGCTAATGACTGTTGGAGTGGGGGTCGGTCACCTTTAGGCAGGTGGTGCCAGTTCTAAGATGCTGCTGTTGAAGCTCCGCGTGAATAACGTGCAGAACTGCTGGGCTTCACCGATCAGTAATAGGAATAAAAGAAAAACAAATCATGATAGCTTGTCTTGACCAAAAGAAAAAAAAAAAATAATAACCTTTAGAACACCAAATTTAGCTGTTACAGTATGTTTCAGTACCAGAGTTTTGAGTTAAATTGCTCAGGCAAATTGCAGATGGGAAGCGCTCCACTTTCATTGTGCTCGTAGTGCAAAACAGGTCATCGGTCCCTCGCCCCAGGGTGATCCTTGCCGGAGAAGGAATGATTTGCAGCGTCCGTGCTCGGGCTTTTAGTTCGGTTGGGACCATTCTCGTGCGCGCAGCTGAAAGCCTGTGGGTTGTTCCCCCAGCCCGGTTTCCAGGAGAAGGAGGCTCCTGATCTAGAACTTAGGGTGCACAGCTCTTTTTGGGGAAAAGGGGACATGCGTGAGCAGCCATGGGCCTGCTACTCGGTGCAGGAATCACTTCAAAACAAATGTATAAATTGTAAATTTAACTAGGAATCTTCTTTGCAATTTTGGCCATCATATTCTGTTCAAAGACAGGAACATGGATCCTTTTACCAAGTAAAAAAAGGCTCATTTAAAATGTACCTAAAATTTTAGGAAATTGTGCACCCTTTTATCAATTTGTATAAAGGCTTTAGTGAAAAAAAAAAAAACAATGTTAAAATTAAACTTTTTGTATTCTGGGGTGTATCTATTTTTATTCTGTTGGAAACCTATTTAAAGTGGCAGGTGAGTGAGTGCTTGCGTGTCGAGTGGAAGACTTGTTTCAATCACCTACTTTAATAGTACAGCTGAATGACCTTGTGACAGCAGAGTATTGGGTTGAATTGTCACGAAAGCTGCTGCTGGTCCTGTGTGCTGTTTCTAATGTACTTTTAATTGGAATAAAGAACACCTACTGAACGATGCCTCCGCTAATTTCTTGCTTGAATACGTTGTTGTTTAAAAGCCTTAGGTAGGGACGTTCCCAGCCAGGACTCCTGATGAGTTTTCTATTTATGACCTTCTGAAAGCGTCCTGTGACAAGACTGAACTTCACCTGATTTAAAGCTGAAATTCTTAAAAGCCGCCCCCAAGGACAGCTTGTTAAATGATACCACACCGTAAATAAGGTCAGATAAAATACTGTTCTTCCCCCCCCCACCTAGTGCTTCTTGGGCCAGACTTGGCAGAGTTGCTGCTAAGACCTCCCCTGCATCCCCAGAAGACTTTTGAAGGGAAGAGAAGGAGAACTAGGGGAGAAAAGAGGTGTTTTCCTGGCACTGCGCTTGCCTAGATCAAGACTTGACTGTCTTGACTTGACTGTGGTTTTTAGAAAAGGAAATAATTGAAATGCCCGTCTTTGGAGGTGCTGTAGCACGGGTGAGTTTGTTAGAGGGCCAGACTCATTCAGCTTTATCTTAGGTGGAGATAGTCGGGAGGAATTTCCTCCAGCCTGAGAAGTGCTGACCGCTGTGGTCCAGGCTGCTCTTACTCTTCTGTTCTCGGTTAAGGCATCGGCCCCTGTACGCTCTCAAAGCTGCGTGGTGGTCACCGTGTCTCTGGTTGTTGGCAGCGGGCAGCCACTGATCCGAAGGGCTTCCTTCTTCGCTGCGATCTTGTATTTAATACAGGACGAAGATACAAACTCCAGGAAGGTACGTGCAAGATGGCGTGGATGGCAGCTGACCGTCCAAAGTCTGATTTGGGCAGTCCCCGAGGTATTTGCCATCAAATTAATGGCATTTCGCGTTTAAGAGGAGATGCAATGGCTAAGCCTCCAGTTCACAGAAATCATTTGAAGTTCAAGTTTCAGCCTAAAAGGTTTTATTGATTGTATGAAAACACAGTATGAAAACACTCTGAAATGTAGAAGTAACGTAGCATACACAAAATCAGAAGGGAATGAACCGCTTAATGCTGAATGAAACACAGAAAATGGTTCCTGTGCCTGAACCCTTAAGTGAAATACTCTGCTCCCCGCTGAGGTTTGATTAAAAGCACCCACCGCGTGTTTCGGTCTCCCTGAAGGCACCGGGATTGCTACTGTGCAATTACCATCGCCCGCAGTAGTAGGTAACACTATTTCATCAGGTACCGTCTCCGTAAAGCCGCTGGACCCGGAACGCTTGCTTTAGAACGAGTTGCTACGCTCTTGGTCAACACCGGCATCAGATTTCTACTACTACTGCTGTTCCGTGTTGGTTTGGCAGTTACACCGAGGTTCAGAAAAAGTTGGGTTTACCTCAAAATAGTAAAACTAGCTCATCCGTGTGGCAAGTGGTCCATTTTTTTAGCAGATTGAATTATCGCCTTTGAACCGTAAGAATTTCCATCAGAAACCTAGAAGATTTTTTTTTAGCACAAGCACGTTGTATTTATCTAAAACCTGCCAAGTTACCCTACCGGCCTTTTTTAATGATGGTTTAGTAAAATACGGTCTACTGCCCGAGCCCATTCCTCAGTCAAATCCAACCAATATATTTTTATTTACAAACTCTCAAAGCAGCACTTGCTTTCTTGGACTAACTCATTTCAGTGTAAAGGGGTTAAACGGAAGTATTTTGTAACATCCCATCTTAACTCTCCATCTATTCTTACCTACGGATCACACGAGTTGAATGAGAGAAGGAAAACTAAGTAGAAAATCCCGCTGCTCACCGATACAGCCAAAAAAATAACTGTTTGTTCTGAAAAAGACGACGTAGTCGCGCTCTTAAAAGCTGCACTGAGGTTACCCAGAAAGAGCTGAGCTCTCACAGGTACATTACCATCGGTCTTGCAATTTAATACTTCGCAATAATCCATTAACGTGTTATTACTGTTATTTCCAGATGGTTTTCGGGTTTGATCTCCTTTTCAGTTGCTCTCGAGAAGATGATGTTCAGGATGAAGATAACCTACTGAAGATGGTCCTCCAGAGTAAACCAGTTCCGTTTCTACCTTCCCAGCTAGGTGCCTCTGCATCTGGATCCACTCTGGGAAGCGGTTCCTTCCTGAAATACAGGAAAGGAGAAGGGGAGAGGTCTCGGGTTTCTACCTTCCCAGCTAGGTGCCTCTGCATCTGGATCCACTCTGGGATCTTCCTGATCAGGTACCTTCCTGAAATACAGGAAAGGTCTCGGAAACTTCAGTCTTCAAAGAAGAACATCGGCAATTTCAGAAAACCAAAAAGGCCAAAGGTTGGTGGCGCTCAGGAAGCAATTTGTGATGGCACATGTGAAAAGAGATGCTATTTATGTAGCAGGTATATACACCTGAAATACTCTCTCAACACATATACACAAGTCTGCTTCAAGGGGAGTTTTTGGAAGACGGCAAGATGAAGTAGGCGGCCCAGGAAACATCAGAATTCCAGTTTTTTAGAAGAAGAAATGCATCCCACTCAGCAGAACGACCCAGAGTGGCGTGGCGGCGTCTCTGTGCGCCTAAAGATCTGCGTCGTGCTCCTCTTTCTGTCGGATGCACAGCACGGACTTGTGGAGAATCCCACATTCGTGGAGGGACCTCGTAAGGTCAGAGAAACTCCTTCGGGGCACCTCCATCGTTTCAACGCTGCAGCGTTTGTACTTGGCCACCATTTTCTGTTCTGCCACGGCAAGGACCATCTGGAGACTGTCGGTGGGCTTGAAACGATGTTCAAATCTCTGACCAGAGGGAGATCGAACAGCGAGCAGCAAGTGCGACTCTTCCTTTGGCGGCTCTTCCAAACCTAAAGTCAACGTCGAAGGGCTCTCTTGCCTCATTTTCCTCCCCAGCTTTCCAGGAGGACATTGCACGTGTGAGCTCTCTTCACCGGGGACATCGCTTTCTGACAATTCACTGGCAGATCCTTGTTCTCCAGAAAGAGTTTTGGCTTTCGGAGCGTCCTCCTGCCCCTCACTCACTTTCAGCCTGTCAGTCTGTTCAGCCACCGCTTCCACAGCGCCGCTCCCTACGCCTTTCCAGCCGATGGAGGGGAGCACCCTGTACTTGTTCAGGGAAGAGGAGGTCCTCAAAGGCACTTGCTGCAGGAGCTCTGGGATTTCCTCAGGAGACACCTGGCCGGATGGGAACGCCGGTTTCGTGAACGATGCTCTCCGGCTGTTCACTAATTCGTGAGGAGGTGCTGGTGGCGGGGAAGATGGCACCCGGCAAGGACAGGCTTCCACGCTCTGAGAGTAATTGAAGCTTGGCCTTGTGCGTCCCTTGGCAGATTTTGGCCTGGTGACGTGCATGTCGACGGCGTTTGTCCACGAGAAAGCAGCTGCTGTGCTTGAAGGGAAGTAGCAGTGCGACGGTGCTAAGTTCAGAAGAGCCGCTGTGGCCATTGCTTCTCAAGGCACCTGCGGATGGGGTAGCAGAGGGAAAAGTTACAGGAATCGGCCAGAAAGCTTCTAGAGAGCTTAACCTCCCTACAGCTTCCACTTCTGTGCCGCACATCAGCTAATAATAGCAATAAATCTGGTGTATCACCGTGTAGGCAGGCAGCAATCCTACGGTTCAGTTACGGCTGAGTCAGAGACGGTGGGATATGTGTATTTATAGGTGCTGGCTTTGTCAGGAATTGTTTAAAAGTTGACCCAGAGCATCGGGAAGTTGTGCCCTTCCCAACTTGAAGGAAGTTTTTGATGGAAGGAACAGAAACATTTTTTTTCTGAAGCTAGAAACTCAGTGAAAATGGGAGATGAGTGAACTTCAAAGCACAAATCTGGCCTTTTTGCTGTTCCTGCAGTGAAAGATTAAGTTCCTGTCGTGGACTTTTGGGTAAGACTGACTGCACTTCACTTTTTAAAAATCTCTGAAGACCTTTGAGACCGAATATGTCTGATTCAATACAGAGAAATGCATTCTGACTTCTCCTGTGACCAAAAGCTGCTTAACAGAGATTGATATTAACCTCTATTAAAAATGAAACCATGTACTGATGCGCGTTCCCCAACTCAAGCTGCGCTCAGACCCCTCATGCTTTACTAGGACAAAGCCCAAAAGCCCAGACAACCGGGCCACAACCTCACAACAACATTTTGGAGAAGTGCGACAGGGTCACGCACATCCTCTTCCTTTTCTGTGGTTTGCGCAGCAGGACTTATCAAAGGGGGAAAAAAAAACGTCAACTTTGATCGCTTGGCGTTCTCCAGTAACGACAGAGTCGGACTCGCCTGCTGCTCATCACCCCAAAACAAAGGAAGAGAAGGGAACAGCCACTGTGGTTGTTCCCCA